TTAAATTTAATATTACATCTTATAAGAAAACAAAATATAGCTTAATTTATAAAATTTCATAAAAATCTTAAAAAAACAAAAATTCTAAAACATATTCCTTGGTCGGATTTCTCATTTCCGACAAGGATAAAAAGTAAATATTTAAAAAATTCGAACACCCCTAGTCGGATTACACAATTCCGACTAGGTAATTTATTTTATTATTATTACTGTTTTTTAATTCCTTCGGGTTAGACAAATAAAATAATGGAAACATTAAAAAATTTCGAACACTCCCCTGGTCGGATTACACAATTCCGACTAGGTGTTTTTTTATTTTGTAATTTCCAATTTAAATGAAATCATTTAAAAACCCGTGGTCGGAAGTGCCTAATCCGACTGGAGGAGGGGTGTTTTTTTTTAAAAAATCCAGATTTTCAAAACCTAAATTCCTGTCGGAATTGGAGATTCCGACTAACGTCTTGTTTTTGGGAATGTCAGAACGAAAAGTTTCGTTATTTGGTAATTACTTCGGGTTATGATACATAAAAATACACTTTTCTAATTTCTACTGTCAACACATTCCCAATTTCTTTTTTAATTTGTCGATCAAATTGCTTGCTTGTGATAACTAATGAGAAGGAATGTTGACATCAAAGAGATGAATGTCTAGGCGTCGATTATCAAAAACCTGCTAAAACAAAAATGTGTATCAAAATGGAAGGTAAATTGATTGAACATGTAGAGCATTGAATATGAGAGTTTTCATATATATTGCGGAAATGATGATTTTGGTTAGGAGTTAATTATCAACTAGTTAATAACTTTACTTTTCCTGGTGTCAAGCCAATACCCGAAGGTGTTAGGGTAAGGGCCAAGGAACACCTCACCGGTTTATTAAAGAAATATGCAGTACAGAGAGCTAGAGGACTAAACCAAAGACTACTTGGGGAAATAAATGAAAACATGTTGAAGTTAAAAATAAAAGATTACAGAGCTTACTAGTTTACTGTGTAATTAAAATTATTGGAGAGACCGGCCTGGATAGACAGGTCTCTGTTGTATTTGTGATGGAATTTAATCGCCCTTTGAATGTATGCAGGGTAAATGTTTTACTCAAGATGAGCTCTATGGTACCAAGTCACTTCGCAGTTCATGTCGCATTTTAGTTAGTTTTGCACGTACCAATTTCTTAGTCGCATATTTATATTCTTAAATAACTTAATACTAATGTTTAATTACGGGTAGTGCAATGAAGTGCGGATTATATTCAATTGAAAGAAGGTAGATTCTATGGTACCCCAAATGTACCATACCTTTGTCCAAATGGACCAATAAGAATGATGCAGTTGAATTATTTAAATCTAAATTAAAAGGCATAGAATGATTTGGACCAATCAAATGCATGGTAGGTATGGTACCCCATTTTTTAAATGAGTACCGGAGTTGTCACCAAGAAAGAAAAATAAAATGTAAAACTAACTAAAGTGAGACGTGAAATGAGGATGAATTAATGTGGTAGTTGAAGTGTATAATATTTTCGTCTTATAATCATAATGACCTAAAAGTGTGATGAAAAAGGGGAGAAATATGGATTGAGTAAGTCAATGCTCTTCAAGAATATACTCCTCTTCTGTGACTGTTGTTGAGTGCAAGATTAAATGTAATCAGTCAAAAGAATAAACATAACACCGCTACCCTAACCCATATAAAATCTAAGCCTTACATTTGGATGTACGTGCACTAACGTAACTTGTGAAATTGTCATTAAATTAAACATACTTATAAGTTATCAGATCAAATCAGCAAGTGAGTAAGTTACGAAATTAAAACTACAAATGGTTCCATTTTTATATGCAGCGATGCATATGACTTTAAGGGTAATAGAAGCACTAGTCCCAGACCTTATATGGCCATTTTTTTTATCAATCGTGTATGGGGTAAGTACCCCAACATGTCCCCTACGTCCAAATTGGGCGGGACAACTTGATCATGGGTATAAATTAGCAAAACTGACCCTCTTCTTGAAGAATTGCTAATAGTTTGAGGGCTTATTTCCCTCCTTGCTCTTCTATTTGAATTTCGTAAAAGAATATGTTGAGTGTATTGTATTGACGGTATTTGAATACAGAGAAAAATGATATTGAGGGATTTATACACTATTTTTATATCTACGGAGCCAGTTATTAGATAATCTAACGAGAGTGAGGATTTGGGGGCAGATATTGAATCGTTTATATTGTTGGGCCATAGATATATACTTCGTATTTTATATGCATCATACCTAGTATTATTTTATAGCTTGTCAATATATTTACACATTTCAATGTATATGCTATCAATTTTTGGGGGCCCGACCTCCTTCAATCCCTCCCCATCTCATCAATGACCAGATGAATCATGAAAGGCAACTCAAAATATGCAAGACTCAAAACATCAATGGTTTAATTTGAAGATATATACAGAGTTGTGTGATAGTTATTTTACATGAATTATTTCAAATCCTCATGCATCTCTCCTCGATCGATCTGTCGAACAAGAAGATCATTATGGATTCTTTTATATATAACAAGAGCATATTCTAGATGCTCGAACACACATTTGATACATCAAACAGAAACAAAGCCAACAACAACACTATGCCCATGGGAAACCAACTATATATTACAAGGCATGCATGCATGTTGGTCACCACACTCACTACTCATTTTTTGTTGCACCTTATATAGCTACTTGGGGCATATCCCCAGAAAGAGATTGGTAGTTCAGCAAGACTCCCCGAGCTAGCCGCGGGGCGCTCAGGCTTCGATGTTTCCCGAGACAGAGCGGGTCTCGAAGGAGTTGCGGCGGGCGGTGGCGAGAACCGTCTTGTCGGCTACGATGAAGTAAGCCATGCCTGCGGCTGTTGAGATGATGAGTGCCTGGGCAGTGGGGTTCAGGTGGGCTCTTGCCCAGGGCAGCATTCTCACACTGGCCATTGTTGGAATAGCTGTTGCAATTGTTGCCACCACTGCTGCTTTTGTCCCAGCAACTACCCCTTCTGCACATCCACTCTTTATTAACTAATTATATATAGTCCATGTTCTTATTATGTATGTCTAAAAACAGTCTTTAAATTATTCATTCATTCCATTTTATTTAGTTTGTTTTAAAATATTTGTTGCGGATAGTATTTGTCCATAATCATGTACCTTTTTCAAATTCTATATTTATTAACCACACTTCCAGTTTTTCTTTGTGTCGTGTCCATTTTTCTAAATTTAGTTTTTTTTAAAAGGATTTTTCTAAATTTAGTTGGTTGAGGAGTATTTAAATTTTACTATCTTTGTCCCACTTTATGTATTCCACTCTAACTTGGCGCACTTATTCATAAAGCGATTAAAAAAAATGAAAGTTGCGGTTAAATTTTGAGTATAACAAATAAAGTGAAATGTCGTAGACCACATATTTCCTTCCAAAAGGTAAATGTGACACTTATTTTGAGACGATCCAAAAAGGAAAGTAAGACATGTAAAATGGAACGAAATGAGAACAGTTACAAATGTATCATCATGTCTCTAAATGTGTTGTTTTAAAGAATATTTGTTAAAAACATAGGTATGTAAATGAGTAATTGACCATTCAAACATTACTAAATAAAAGTGAAAACTTGATTGTGGGATACTGGGAGATCGGGAAAAGCAAAATGAAAACTTAATTGTGGGGCGGAGGAATATGACTAAAAATTAAACTTTTGATTGTATGTTGCATTTACCTAGTAAAATAAACATGAACACTTTGTATGAAAGAAATAGTGAATTTACTCCTATGAAAAAGTACATCATTAGTTACTAGACTAGATAGCTAGAGCACATAAGAAATCAAATGTGCTTTACTAACTTAATAGAGAGAAAAAGAGCTACAAGTCAAATTATTTATAGAAGAAATAAAAATGGTGGATGAAATTAAAGCTGGTAAACATACCATGAGAGCAACGCTTAGCCATGGCCAACTTGTCTAGAGAAGCCATTATTATGATGCTATGAAGTTTCCAGAAAAGGTAATAATCTAAATGGAGAGAATTGAAAGTGAAGGTTTGGATAAATATTTGGTGAGGCTAAAGACCCATATATATATATATACTCCGTACTTCGTATAAATGATAAATGGCTTATCGAACATTTGATGGTTTTGTAGGATTACCATTGTCGGGACCCTTATTTTCTGCCGTGGGGTAGGCCGGCTGTTTTGGTCAGTTACCTTTTTTTTCAGGATAGCCTTTTTTTCTTCATCTTTTCTAGGTGCATCGGGAGCAAAACGTGAAACTCCATTTATTTAATGATTGCAACAGTAAAGATAGCCAGTGGTTTGGGCCTTTGGGAAGTGAAGGACAAAACTGATATATGAAAACCACGGGTGTTCTCAGTGCGGATCCGATTAAATTTAATTGGGGGCAGAAATGAAGAATGACTATAAAATGCATAAGAAAAATATAATACTACGTACATCCATCCCATTTCATATATTTTGTTTTGGTTTGACATAATTATTAATAAATTGATTGAAAAAATAAAAGTTGTGATTGAGATTTGAGTATAATAAAGTGAAATGACGTAAGACACATACAAAGTTTTTTGTGTTTGTGACACTTATTTTAAGATAACCCAAAAACGAAAGTAAGACACGTAAAATGAGACAAAGACAATAATAAAGTATTAATGTGATATTATAATAACAAAATTTGTAACAAGCATTAATGTGATCATACATCATTGTCGTTCTCGCTGACTTTTCATCTTTTGAAAGAGATCCATCATAGTTTAATTTGTAATAGTTTCAAATACATCTCTTTCAGTGCCGGCCATAGGGGTAGGCACAGGGGCGGAGGGAGGGGGTGCCCAGGCTGGGCCATGGCCCAGGGCAGTTTTTTTTTTTTTTTTGTATTATATATGAAATTTTTAATTTTTTTTAGAAATGACCCAGTGCAAAAAAATAGTGGCCCAGTGTTTGGCCCAGTGCAAATATACCGTCCGTTCCAGAGCTAAAGAAACAAAGCTAACCAAAGCCAAAGAGCAGAGACAGACGTTTTCATTCGCATCTCCTATTCGCCGGACGGCGGACGCAAGACGCCGCATCTCCAGGCTCCAGCTCTCCTCCGCAGCTCCGCTCCGCCGCTCGCCCTGCCGCCCCTGCGCATAGCCTTTTCTACGCCGGTCGCCGCATCGCCTTTGACCGTGGAATACTCTCCAGTCTCCACGCCGCAGCCCGCATAGCCTTCCATTTCTTGACTGCTGAATTGCTTCGGCGCAGCTGTCAAGGTAAGGTTTCACAATTTTACAATTTTAATTTAATTTGACAATTTGATTTTACAATCGTGACCTACATTTTTTCAATTTTTAGTTCAATGTAATTTTATTTGTTATTTTAGATTGTGTTAGTCACTTAGTGTGCTTTGAATTGATTTGCGTGCTTGGAATTGTAAAATGATAAATTAGAATTTAGGAATGTCAAATGTGATTTTGTGAATTGTTAAAAATATTAATAGGAAGGAACTATGTGAATTCAAATAAAATATTGATTAGTTTTTTATTTTTTTGCTAATTTTAGTAAGTATGGATACTCAATCTACTTCCAAAAAGGCAAAAATCACATTACGTCCGTTTTATAAGCCTAGTACAAGCACTCAAAGTAGACAAGAGTTAAATGTCTCAATTGAAACTCTTAATATCTCATCCGCTCAAGAGGAAGTAGATTCTGATGCACTTTAAATTGAGCGGGATCCGGAAAAACGCAAAACGATAAGTGATTGACTGTTAGAGAAAAGAGATGACAATATGCAATTAGATGATCTTATTCGATGTTTGGACCTTATCAATCAAAATTGAATTTTTACAAAGGCCGAGTTTACAAAGATATGATGCGTCGTTTTCAAGCTACCTTGTTCAATGAATTTAATTGGTTGGAATACTCTCCAACAACACATAAGGCATATTGTTTTCCGTGCTTTGTCTTCAGTGATGTTGTGCATTCTTCTTGTGTTTCGGCTTTAGTGACTATTGGTTTTGATAGTTGGAAACGAGTTCATCAGGGTAAAGAATGTGTGTTTCTTGTGCATGTTGGTTCATCCCCTTCCTCACCTCATAATAAGAGTGTGACTTGTGACACCTTAATGAAACCAAGTCAACATATTGACAAAGTCATTGCTAGGATCAGTAAAGAAGAAGTGGTGAAAAATCGTTTGCGTGTAAGGACAACCATTAAACTCAGTTAACATTTTAGATTCAAACATGATATGTATTGTTTAAAAATATTACTATGAATTTGAATGAATTTTAATCATTATGTTCAGACTATTGTCGTTTTTAAAATTTTTATATGATGTTTTTAGTGTATAGTCGGCCCAGGGTAAACATCAATCCTGGCTACGCCCCTGGTAGGCACATAGGCCATTGCCTAGGGCACCACTTCCAAGGAGGGCACCATTTTTAAAAAAAAAAGTAGAACTAGTATTACGTATTATACGATAGTATATATATACGGGTTAATATATACGGAGTAACCCACTGGCGGCATGCGGGAATGATGGTAGAAAATTGAAAAGTCTAACTGTCAAAGCACCCCACAAAACAATACTCCGTAGAAAATTAACTACTGATAGTAAGATAAAGAAATCTGACAAACATGGGAGTCTGGTCCACTGGCAGGATGGCCCAATACAAAATTAGGAAGAAATTAGCCTTAGGAATAATGTAGTCTATCTATCAAGACTATTAGAGTATTACTCTAAATTAGGAAGAAGTTAGCCTTAGAAATTAGCCTTGAAATTTCAGCATTAATAAATTAACTAATTCGTTATACTCCTTATTTGGAGGCCGTTTGGCAACACTGTTTTTCGCCTTATCAAGTTTATCAACCAACTTTTTCGCCAAACACGTATATTTTGCTTTCGAACGATTAATTGTGTAATAAGCAGAAAAAGTAAGGTTAGAGTTACTTTTATGGCTGTATTGGCTGAAGTTACTGTAGATGATCATTTTAGCTATTTTTACATATAATATTTTCTTTAATTTAGTAATAAAATATATTTTTAAACTATTTTTTTTAATCAGCAGAATCAGCCAATACAGCCACTTCAGCCAGAACTTCATAAATTTCTGCAGAATCAGCCAAAACAGCTGATTTTCGTGCTACCAAACGGGCTCTTCATTCTTTGAAACTTCTATTCCTTTAATTCTTCTGCAATCCATTATTCACAATTGAAAATTCCCATTCCTAGAAAAAAAAATTAGAAACTAAAATTTATAATTAAATGAGTTATTTACAACAAGTTTAGTAATTAATACGTAATATTCATTAATTGTATTAAACTTGAAAATTTGTGTTATTTTTTCCCCTAATTTTCTTGAAGTTATTTGGTTACGAAATTCAGTCTAAAACTTGTTCTTTTTAAATAGTATTTCCATATTGACTAATTAACATCTAAAAGAAGTAATTAGTGTTAAATTAGTGTACTATGACAGGGAAACATAAACAAGAGTTAGGAGTTTCAAAGATAAAACTTAAAAAAAAGGATGAACTATAGCAATCTTTTGCGGGTTCAATGGATAGGTATGTAAAGACAAAACCCTTCTTCATCGACCTCAAACGTATTTAAACTCATTTGTCACTTTTTGTCTGGGGCATCAAAACTGCTAGAGACGGCTCTGATCTCTTTAAATTAAAAAAATTAGACAAGCATTCCAAACCTTGTCTCCAAACCCTTAATTTACAAATGCATCAATCCCAACACGGTTCTAAAAGTGATCCTACACAAGTAACAACTTGAAGAGAAGGCTATGTCAATCAATATATATATATAAGAGGAACTTTTTAAGAGCATACAATGTTTCACATAATCCTGCCATGCAATCATATATAACAATTATTTAATTACTTTTTATACAGTTTATTTTTTTATTAGATTCTATTTTTATTGTATATTGATAAGGAAACAATATAGGATGAGAGAACCCTGTTCCTATCAGGAGCTCCTAAAGAGAATCTCTGTGCGGACATGACCATCAGAGGGTCTTTCCGGTGGAACTTTTTGATTAAATTTTTTCAGCATGTACCTCATCAAGTCTAGTTTGTCCATACCAAATTTCAGCTCAAAATTCGATCGGGAAGATAGTGAAATAAATCCTGGAAACATACTGCACATTATATGTGCGCAGAATGCGCCATATTTTTTCAGGATTTATTATACTGCCTTCCGGCCTTCCCGATCGAATTTTGAGCTGAAATTTAGTATGTACAAACTAGACTTGACAAGGAACATGCTCAAAAAAATTCATCAAAAAATTCCACCGGGAAGACCCTCTGATGGGCTTGTCCGCATGAGGCTTCTCTTCAGGAGCTCCTGATGTGAACTGCCCTCTAGGATGAGAATCTAAGTAGTCACGATAATTGTATATATTAATGAAAACTGGTTGATATGGAAACAATATACATTTCGATCGAAACTATTCCAATTCTATATATTTTCGATTGATATTATATATACTATTCCAATTGCATATATTTTCGATTGATATAACAACTATTAGAATATATTTTTTATTTAACCAGATCAAATGAAAAATGGAGTATTATTATAATAATAATAATAATAATATCACAATAATAATTATTATTTTTATTATGAATAATAATATCTCAATAATTATTATTATTGTTACTATTTTTTATTCAACCAGATCAAATGAAAACGGGAGCATACGGTGTGCCACATAATCCTGCCATGTCATCATATATAACAATTATTTAATTACTTTTTATAAAACTTATTTTTCTATTACATTCTATTTTTATTGTATATTGATATGGAAATAAAAGACTGTAGGATAGAATCCACCTTATTTGGTAACTTTTTAAGAATCTATTACTTACTCTGTATTAATTTAGATAGTTATTAAAATAAGCAATTGGAACCACAAGAATAAACAATCATCCGTACACATAGACTAAGTTTTATATCAATTATTTAATTATTTTTTATACCTTTTATTACATTCTATTGAAAAATGAATCATCCCTGTTTTTCCCACCTAACAGATAAATCATCCAAATTCCTGTTAGCTAAATTATATACTACCCGTGCATCGCACGGGTTGAAACCTAGTTTTGTACTACATTTCAACCAATTAGGATATTGATCGATCAAATCATTTGCAGTTAAAGAGCCCGTTTGGTAACATGAAAATTGGCTGATTCGGTTGATTATGCTGAAATTTATGAAATTCTGGCTGAAGTGGCTGCATTGACTGATTCTGCTGATTTAAGAAAAAAACATTTTTAAAATATATTTTATTAATAAAATAAAGAAAAAATTATATGTAGAAATAGCTAAAATGATCATCTACAGTAACTTCAGCCAATACAGCCAGAAAAGTAACTCTAACCTTACTTTTTCTGCTTATTACAAATTCAGCGTGCGAAAATAAGAGTTGCGTGTTTGGTGAAAAGGTTGGCTGATAAGCCTGATAAGCCAAAAAACAATGTTGCCAAACGGCCTCAGAGTGTCTTGAGGTCTTTCTAATTTTTTAATACATTAACATTTTATTAAACTGTTTAAAATACGGAGTAACAGATTGAGTCCGATTGGTGATCCTGTCTTTTTTGTTTATCATGCTTATCCGCCAACTTTTTCACCAAACACGTAATAAAAAAGTAAGGTTGGGGTTAGTTTTCTGACTGTATTGGCTGAAATTACTGTATAAGATCATTTTAGCTATTTTTCATATAATTTTCTATTTATTTTATTAATATAAATTATTTTAAATATAACTTCTTCTTAAATCAATAGAATCAGTCAATTCAGCCAAATTTCATAAATTTCAGCAGAATCAACCAATTCAGCCAATTTCAGTGTTACCAAACGGGCTCATTATTTACATTAAGGATTTCTAACTTACTAAATGACATTTTCTATTTTCGTACATTTAGGTAAATCAGTAATCCTATAATAACTTAATAACATTATAATAAGTTTAATAACATGATTGTTGTAGGGAGAATTGTTCGTAGAGTTTCATTACCGAATGCCCCTATAAATAGGGATAGAGTAGGGTTTACAGGTACGGGCCAATAGGCCCAGATTACACAGTTTACATAGAAATGACCCTAATACATATTCTATATAAACGATAGCACACTACATAGAATTTCCTTCAACACTCCCCCTTGTGCTGAGTTGAATAGAATTTGGTATCTGTCTTGTTGTCTCATCAAAATCTTTGTCAAGTAACAAAAACCCTGTGGGAAAAATAACCTTGACTAG